AAAGATTAAAAATGATTGAAAAAATAAATATATAAATTAAAAATATTTATTTTAAATTATAAAGACTAAAATAAAAAAGTAAACAAATTATACACACTATTTTAACCAGTTTTTCCAGACTTCTTTCTTGTCCACATTTAATTTTTTTTTTAATCTTGTGCCGAATATAATTATTATCCTTGAAAGAGTTTTTTTTTTATATCCGTTATTTATGAGAATAAAGAAAATTTATATTTAACACTTTTTCATACATACATGATTAAAAAGTACAATCTATTTTTTTTAAAACTAAATAAAAACATTATATTATTATTTATGAGGATTAGAAATATATTTAATTCTGATATGATACTCATGGTTTGGATTTCTCCCGTCTTGTTTTTATCATGTCTTTTTTTATTTTTTATTTTTATATTCCAATGTATGATACAATATTCGGACCACGTAACGAATTGTTAAAAGAGAAAAAAAATGTATTAATAGTATAAAATGATTTTATATTATCATTTAATTATAAATTAACAGAATAATAAATTTGGTGTAAAAATTATAATAATAAATTTGTTAATTTTTCAATAATTACTTTATATATCATATTAAGAATAATTCTTAAAATTATATATTTTCTATATTAAAATTTTTTACATGACGGTGTGTAATTATTGGACCTTGTTAAAAATAGTAAAATACCAATTGTATAGAAGAGTGAATTTTAAATTTCACTTTTTGAATGTTAATACAATATATTGTTTTACATTTATATATGGGTGATAAACTGTTTTTCTTTTCATTCCTTTGTTGCTTGCTTGTAAAAAAATAATCATATTCTCAACTAATGTGTTATGTTGTATGATTTACACGTGTCATATAGTAATTAACGTTAAAAATAATATGTTGTTTATATATATATATATATATATATATATTGACTGAAGATTGTTATTTATATATATTGCCCATTTTTTGGTATAGGATCAGCCAATATAAAATATTGATTAGTTGTTCGATGGAATCTTTGAATTTTTTTATAGTGTATTGATTGGTTTTATTTTCTCAAACCAAAAACATCGTTATTGTTTTTTGTTTTTGTTTTCTTCAAACAGCTGGTCATAATAATAGATAATAGAGAAATATTTTGAAGGAGCATAACTCCAACACCTTATCTTTAAATATAATTAATAAACAAAATTATAACTAATAAATTAAAAATATCAATATGTCAAATAAGATTAATTAAAAAAACAACATTTAAAATAACAAAAAAAACACTATATTTTTTCCTGCATATGCATAATCATTTTTGTGAGCAGTAAATTCAAGTTATATAACCATATGTGGATAGATAAGATTTACTGAAATTACTGTCACGTGACTAAAAATAGTTTTATTTTATTTTTTTTTACTTTTTTAAAAATTATTTACATTTAATTTTCGTAATAAAATCTAATATTAATATTTTTATAAAGAAAAGTTATTTCTCTTTATACACAAATTCCTTAGAATTTTTTTTATGTCATTGTATTATTGTTTGTGTAAAATATTTATCAATTTTATTGATAGTTGATCTTTATTATAAAATTTAACTATTTTTACTAAATCTCTCTTTTTAATCATATTTTTATTTTATTTTACATCTATAAGAATCACGAATTCTTGTTTTGAGAGATTAAATTTTAGTTCTCCTAGGACCAATGAAATGTACATAGTTCAAAATTAATTTATATATTTTAATATATTAATTTATTTATTATGAATTTTAGCTATAAGCTAATTTATATATTAAGATATATTAATTTATTATAAATTTATTTATGTAAAATAATTAAATAAATGTTGAGTTTTAATTGATATTATTGTTAGTATAAAATTTTTTATATTGAGCAGCCTTTATAAATGATGTTTCATATGTTTCCATAATTACATTAGTTTCCATAATGATGTTTCATATGATATTTATGTTAAGCATGGAATGATAGATTAGTAAAAGATAAGTTACATTAAATATTTATCCTTATGTATGATTAATGTGGACTCTTATTTTACTTATGAACTTAAAAATAAATTCACTTTAAAATAGACGTGTTGGAAAGTAAATGGGGAATAAAATATTATGCAATCCGAGAATAATGGTAACATCATAACGTGAATAAAACTAACTTGATAGGCAAGTCTCCTTATAACCTCAAACATATAAATAGCTGAAGCCTCCTATTGTTTGTTCTCGTTTTCCCCTCTCTCTCTTATTCCTCGTCCTCTTTGTTTTCTAGTTTCATTCAAGGTGATTTTCCCTTTCGTATTTTCTACCCTTTTATGCCTCTCAAGCACAATTTTTTTTTTCTCCCCCTTCAGGTTCTTCCTCTTATGTTTGATTTTGTTTCAGACTCTCATTTCTGCGCCGCTGAAAAGAACCGTAACTGATAAATCAGGTACCCTCTTGATCTTCTCTCTCTGCATATTGTGAAATGATTCCAATTTATGATGTCATTGTATATTTGAAATGAACGTGTTTCGAAATCAAGTACGAAATCGATTCACCTGATGAATTCCGATAATGGCCTTACGGCATTGAATAATTGATCAAAGCATGATTTATTTATACTTGTTTTTGGTTTTAGCATTTATTTTCTACCTGTTTTCTTTGCATTTGCCTGATATGAGCAAAATGCCAGGGGTGAAATCAAAAAGTGGGGCTTTTGGGGCCAAAGGACGTGAAAAAATTCAGCCCAAAACGGCTGCATTTCGATTTGTTTTCTCTTGCTAATGCTACCGTAGGCATTTGATTTTTCATTTTTTTAATTTTTGGGTCATTCATGACATTTCACCACCATACATATATATATGGACGTAAATTTTATATGTTATTGAAAATTGAAAATAATATTTTATGTTTTTAACCATACTGATACAAGGGCAATGATTTGACAACCCATGTTTCAAGTGCGGAGTGTTTCTCATCTACCATTAGCATGTGAATTAAGAAAAGTAGAAAAGGTGCTGTAGTTGAGTTTTTTAATTTCCCTTTTGTTTTTATGGTTATAGAAGATGTTGAATTTTCGGAAACATGCGTTTGGTTCACTAAAATAAAGGAGGGAAAAGCACTGAACTATTAATGGATGGTCTCCATGGCAGATTTAGGTTAAAGTTTTTCACAGGGTAATATTTTTGGTCATCCTCAGAACTTTTTCAACATTGACCTTAACCTAAGCCAAATGGCCGCCAACTATAAATGTACTATGTTGTAGCATCTTCTAAAAAGCAAATTTGATGCGCCCCAAAAAATAGGCAACTTTGATGGCGGCCTAACACATTTCCCACAATCTCTCTCTCTCTCTTTCTCTCTCAGTCATTTTTATTATTAATTTTTACCCTCCTTCAGTTGTTTTTTCTGAGGTGGGAGAGTTATTGGAGTTTGGTTTATGACCTTAACTCATGTTCACGTTGGCCGTTGAAGTGTCTAGTCAATGAAGGAAATTTTTTATGATCGTGAATGTTAAGTTTATAATTTATATATATCGGAATGTGAAGGTCGTGCGTTGGATCTACAGCTACAAGTGACAGGCTGACAGCTACTTTTTTTTCTCCATTTTAAGCCCGGGTAGGTCCATCACCGAAGTTTTAAGTTTCAACTACAGAGTGCAGACATAACTGCACGTATACATATGACTCACACAGTGCACTACGCTACAGACTTCTTTATCAAGTGTTAATATTTTATTTCATTTCTTTATCAAATGTTGCTATAAACAATTAAAAACATTAATATTTTTCTTCATTAGCGTATTTGATCTTAAGAAAGGATGAATACTAATATAAATAATGGTTCTTTGTCATTTGTAGATAAGCTCAAATAATAGTGATATGATAAAAGTAAATTATAATGTATTCTATTATCTGTGTTATCTAAAGCAACTCTACTGAATTAGTAAAGTAAAATGGTTTTCCGTGCGGATCATTAGATCTGTCCTTATTTTGAACTCTGGTTATATGCTTTCTTTTATTATTCCTTGTTATATATTTATTTATATTCTACCCAAAAAAATTCTCTGTTTGAACATTACAGAAAAGCATATGTATCCATTAGTATTTCTCTATGGCTGTGAAAATATCGTTTAGTAGAAGTCTTTTTTTTTTTTGTACTTTAATCTTTGCGAGGGTATTATATACTTTCAATTAGTTATAGGCATTCATTTGACAAATTCTATTGTTATTCTTCATTGAAAGGTTAAACGGGTTTTTAAAAATAAAATAAATTGTCGACATGTAGTTTAGTAATGAAATAAAATTCTTTCCTTGTTTTTATATGTATAATTTTGATTAAAAAAAACTTTTGGGAGTAAAAGTAGAACGAGGCTAGAAATTGTAATCTCGTCTAAATGCCAATTTCACAATCTGAGTTCTTAGATAGCTGCATGTCCCATGTCATCTTATTATTTTATTAACATGTTGTAAATGATTGTTGATGATTTGGAAAATAGTAGAACTGAAAATTCTTCAAGACACTAAATTATTATTGACCCAGTGCAATGGACCATCACTTTCATTGTTTGCTTTTTTTGACAACAATGTTTTCTAATGTTTACTGGTTGTGTTTCGTTTTTTATATTCATATTTCACATGACGTTCATCAAAGTCCTATTTTTCGTTGCACATTCCTGTTTAATCTGCTAAACATTCATTCAGTCCTTCATTAACAGGTCTAGCATCGTGTGCGCTCGCCAGCATAGAAATAAATTATGCATAGATGAGAAGGTATTTTCATTTATCGTCCTTAGACGATAATAACAAGTAAATGATTTGTTGCATTGCAGATTTTATACATAACATCACTCTCTAATCAGAAGACCAAGACCATCAATATAAACAAGCCCATGTTACAAATGCAATGCGATATATGAGAAGGTATTTTGTTTTTTTTTTTTTCTTGTTTCATCTTCCTAACATCTGCTTGCATTTGATCACAAAACCCCATTTGCTTATTCTGTAAGTATGCTTTTGGTTCTCCCAATTAAACTTTCAGGGAAACCCGCGCTTGATGGACTGCTTGCACAGTAGCAGTGACAAGAAAACATTAAAGCGGTGGTTTTTCATAGACAAAAGAGTTGGTTGAGTGAAAATAAAAAAGTCTTGATAGTTAGCACATAAAATCAACTTTGTTTGTGACAAAGTCGCACATAATATCAAACACAATAATTTCTTGCCTTTGTTGATAGTTCGTTCGCTTCAAATAATATAGCTCGGTTCAATGGATATGAAGTCCTCTCATGCTTCTCTTCTCACTGACCCTGTTCCCGTAAACAAGTCAAGGCTTCGAATGCATTCTAGTTTGCTCGGTTATTCCCAACAAGATTCACCACTCTCTCCTGGGAAGTGCTCAAGAAGCAATTCAAGGAAAAGTACTGGGAGTGTCGATGATGTAAGGTCCAATGGTTGGTTGGATGCCATGAAGGCTTCTTCGCCTCCAAGGAAGAAGCTACTTAAGGGGTCGAGTGCTCAGGTCGCCTCAATTGACTTTGACATTGAAGACTACTTTTCATGGATGGTAAACTTTCTACTTAGTTTCATTTTTCAACTCATTGTTACTTAGTTTCACATTGTTTGATCTTGTGAGAAATTGAGGATAAATGCAACCATAAAATGACAATTGTGGCCTGATGTGGTTGTGGACACTAAAATTGTGGCCTTTTTTATAAACTTGCATTGACCCATCTCATCTTAAACTGTTTTTCTTTTCTTTCTAGACTATCATTTATTCTTTTCTCTTTACCAGCTTGAATATCCTTCAGCGCTAGACTCTTTTGAGAAAATCATTGACCTTGCAAAGAATAAGAAGATTGCAATGTTTCTTGATTATGATGGCACGCTTTCACCAATAGTAGATGATCCGGATTGCGCCTTTATGTCTGAATCTGTAAGTATACATAAATACTAGATTGTCATATATTAATATCATATATTAGTTTCAGTTAATTCCTTTCTTTTTAGCTCTTGGTCTAAAATCTATCTTCTTCTTCTTATCGCACGGAATTATGTTTAGATGCGCACAACTGTGAGAAGTGTGGCAAAATATTTCCCCACAGCAATTATCAGTGGAAGAAGCCGTGACAAGGTATCCAGGAAGATCATTATTTTTACTATTTGTCCAGTTAAATATTCATTTCAAAGTCATAAAAGCATGGTAACTGCATTTTTCAGGTTTTTGATTTAGTTAAACTAACAGAACTCTACTACGCCGGTAGTCATGGGATGGACATTATTGGCCCTATTAGCAGTACTTTGTGCAAAAGTCACCCAGATTGTGTTAAGTCTACTGACCAAGAGGTGTGTAATAATAGTGATGCAATCATGGATTCGATACATTGATAAATGTCAAAAGAATTCAGAAGTTCACTATGTCTCTGTATTTGAATTTGAATGTGTGTAGGGAAATGAGATAACTCTCTTTCAACCTGCAAGAGAATTCCTGCCTATGATTGATGAGGTGAGAATTCTTTCTCTAATATTCAGCGAGAAGTATCCACTTTCTCACGGATTGAAAAGTAACTAATAGTGGTGTGATTTCATGCAGGTTTTTAGAACCCTCGTCGAGATTACTAAAGATATAGAAGGCGCAAAAGTTGAAAATCACAAGTTTTGCGCTTCTGTACATTACCGTAATGTAGAAGAGACTGTAAGTTTTCGTTGCACCAACCATGAAGAGTTGGTATCTTTTTTCAATCAAAAACATTTCAAATCTGATTTTTTTTTTTTTTACTTAAATGGATTGCAGAATTGGACAACGATTGGACAACGTGTCCATGATGTTTTGAAAGATTACCCTCGCTTACGTTCAACTCATGGACGGAAGGTATTGTATTACGAGCATTCTTAATTGGAAAATAATGGGCACTTTGTTCTTTGCACGATTATTTAAAACATTTGATGATAGTTACTAATTTATAATGCTATTCAAATTTGTCCATGCACTCCATAGTGTAATTCAATTTTCCACATTATAAACCTTTTCCCTGTGTTTTGTTGTGGTATATAGGTTTTAGAAGTCCGTCCTGTGATTGATTGGAATAAAGGAAAAGCTGTTGAATTTTTACTTGAATCTCTATGCTGCTAGATGGAAGTGTAGGGAAATGAGATAACTCTCTTTCAACCTGCAAGAGAATTCCTGCCTATGATTGATGAGGTGAGAATTCTTTCTCTAATATTCAGCGAGAAGTATCCACTTTCTCACGGATTGAAAAGTAACTAATAGTGGTGTGATTTCATGCAGGTTTTTAGAACCCTCGTCGAGATTACTAAAGATATAGAAGGCGCAAAAGTTGAAAATCACAAGTTTTGCGCTTCTGTACATTACCGTAATGTAGAAGAGACTGTAAGTTTTCGTTGCACCAACCATGAAGAGTTGGTATCTTTTTTCAATCAAAAACATTTCAAATCTGATTTTTTTTTTTTTTACTTAAATGGATTGCAGAATTGGACAACGATTGGACAACGTGTCCATGATGTTTTGAAAGATTACCCTCGCTTACGTTCAACTCATGGACGGAAGGTATTGTATTACGAGCATTCTTAATTGGAAAATAATGGGCACTTTGTTCTTTGCACGATTATTTAAAACATTTGATGATAGTTACTAATTTATAATGCTATTCAAATTTGTCCATGCACTCCATAGTGTAATTCAATTTTCCACATTATAAACCTTTTCCCTGTGTTTTGTTGTGGTATATAGGTTTTAGAAGTCCGTCCTGTGATTGATTGGAATAAAGGAAAAGCTGTTGAATTTTTACTTGAATCTCTAGGTAAGAACCTCTCTTCTGCGTCTGATTATTTATTTATTACATACCAACTATGGCAAAGTGTGTTTCATGATATTATTAAACACGAAAAATTATTTTATGCAGGGTTAACTGATAGCAATGATGTGCTTCCCCTATACATCGGAGATGATACAACTGATGAAGATGCATTCAAGGTATTGAATTTAAGCAATACCATATTTCGTTTTTCCTTTAATCATACGTATTATTATGATATAAATTGTGACCTTTGCATTGAACGTATGTTAAATATAGGTGCTGCGAGAGAGCAACCATGGTTATGGGATTTTGGTTTCGTCGGTTAGGAAAGAAAGCAATGCCTTTTTCTCTCTCCGAGACCCCAATGAGGTTCAAATCTCCAACATATTTGATATGCTTTTTTGGCTATATATGCAATTATTTTGTCCGATTCTTCTTGGTCAGAACTAAGATTATTACTATAATACGTGCAGGTCATGAAATTTCTCCAACTCTTGGTGAATTGGAAGAGACAAGAAAGAAAGCATGGGAAGAAGTAAACGCCAAAGATTATATAATATATGGATAGCATTTTATTTTATACCGATTACATAGATTTTATAGAATTGATTATTTCTTCCTCCATCTTCGTTACTAATAAGTTATTATATATGAATGGAAGCTACTGGATTCTGTGGATTTGTTATTATTCTACATTCTACATACCATCATAGTATCGTTTTTTTTTTTTTTTTTTAATCTTTTCAAGTTATAATGGTTATATTGGTAGCTTCCAATCAAATGTGTTCAATTATTTATCATCATAGAATTTTGTTAAAGCTGGGATAAGTAGTCTTTGTATTAACCGCTTCTCATTAAGCGAATGGATTGGACAAAATATACTATTTATATACAATTTTTTTATAATAATTTATGCAGTTTTTAGTTTTTTATCGCACTAATTTTATAAATATACTCACTTTTTCAGTATGTGTCAAAACTAAGTATAAATTAGGGGTGCTCATGGATCGGTTTTTTGAAAAATCTGAACCGAACTAAACTGAACCGTTTTATAAAAATAGATTTGATTAATCGATCCATTTTTTATAAAATGGATCGGTTTGGTTTTTTTAAAATATGGATCGATTTTTTTGAAATTAGATTGGTTTGGTGCAGTACAATTATCAACTTTTTATTCATATATGGATCGATTTTTTTAAAAATCCAAACTGAACCGAACCGATCCGCTTTGTAAAAATGGATTGGATAGCTAAACCAATTTTATAAAGTGGTTCGATTTAAAATTTTTTTTTTAAATGGATCGAATTTTTCAATATGGATCGGATTGACTATGAATCGGTTCGGATCAATTTAAATTTTTTCACACCCCTAATATAAATATACTTTTATCCAATTTTCATTAGGGAATCCATAATAAAAAGATGTTTAATAAAAATGCATTATTTTATACAGTAAAATATACAACATTTTTTTGGTACCGTAAAATATACAATATTTAACAATGCTTGTTTGCACCAGCTTTATAATTGTGAATCTGTGGTACAAAGTAAATGTCGGTTGATTAGGACGTTTGAAGAAGAGGAAAACAAGACATGACAGAAACAGTTAGAAAATTGACTGTCTGTGTTACATTCAAAGAAAAAATTAAAATTTAGGAGTTCGAATCTTGTCTTGTGTATGCAGTCGCGTTAAATTTTGAAGCCAGCTATCCCACATTTTGAGGTGCTTCTAACGTAGCGAGGAGATTAGTCTCTTCTATTAGCGATGGATACTTCAAGAACGAACTAAAAAAAAAAATTAAAGGAGAAAAGGTAGATATTTAATTTACATTAAAGATAGATATTTAATTTACATTAAAGATCACTTTTCCGGTTCTTTTTGTCTCGATTAATTAATTTATAAGGATAAATTAAATTAATAAATAATATTATTTTTGTCTTAAATTTATATATATTTTAAATTATTCTTAACATTGTAAAATATAATTTTATTCTTTTCAAACATTTTGATTGATTTTAAGATTTTCAATTTCATTATTAATATATTTATTGTTCTAATTTTTATTAGTTATGTATGTGAATGAGAAAGTAAGATTAAAATTCTCTTATTACAAAGCAAAATTAAACGCGCACTAACACATTAATGTATCCCACTTATTATTTATTGAATAGTAGCCTATGTCCTTAGTTGAAAATATATAGTCGTAATTTTAGGGTTTGGTGTGTTTGGTTTCTCGGCAACCATAAACATAATGAGCTTAAGTTCTAGTTGATGTTGGTGTTTGTGTCTGTTTGATTTTGTGAAAATGTTTTTGAGTTGGTGTTCTTGGATCTCTAATTAATGTTTTGTGCTCAAATGTCAAAATCAAAACTTCCCTCCCCTTGGATGGTAAATGTATAAGATCAATATTTTTACAGTGTGAAGAATAGGAAAAGGAAAAAAGAAAAACAAGTGTCCTTCTTATTGATGGAGACAGAGCAAAGAAAATCAACCCACTGGACAAGCAAACATGTGACTGTGATCATTGACTCAAAGCATGCATCCAATCCAACCACTTCAATTTTTGGCACAACCACATTTTCCAAAATTCAACTATTGTCCCTTTGATTCTGTTCTCAACATCATTTCAACCCTTTCATTAATTTAATCTTGGTCCATGATTCCATTAATTTCCTAGTAACTTTCAGAGACCAATGTCATTGGGCCTTCCGCGTTAGTTAGCCCAAATAAATATTTTAGGACCTTTAGGCTTTATCCCCCCATCCCCACATTTTTGCATTTGCTACTTAAGTCCAAAGTCTAAACTATTTGACACTGACTACTTCAAATTTCAAATTAATGTCAGAACTAGCAAGTCTTGAGTAGTACTCATCCTAAAAAAAATTTCAACTTTAATTTCGCATAATCGGTTAAAATACGTAAACTCAATTGAAATAAAATTGGCTTAAAACGTTGGTTCCATTTCCATAGAAAGAAAGTTAAGTACACATAAAAAAGAGAGTTTAGGTTACTAAAATTAAAGTAATAGATAATTAAACCATTTGTTACTTTTACACATTCATTTATGACAATATAAATACGAATTCAATGCCAATCAATTAAAATGTCCGCTTGCATAAAGGAATTATTTATATAAATAAAATAAAAAAACGAAGTTTTTTAAATTTTAAATCGTCTTTTTTATAGGATGAAAAATACCAAATACTTTCTATATTTGTATTTTAATTATTTCTATTTATAAAATGCAAAATGAGCAATGTGGAGCATTCACAAGATGCCCTATGCCCATCACTGATAATTCTCCAAATCAATGAAATCATCATCCAACCTCGCACCAACTACAGAACACAGTCTCTAACTTCTAACCTCCGCAAAATATATAAATTAAAATAAATTTAAGCAGCAATATTTTAAAAAAAAAAATAAAACAAAGGAAAATTAGAAAAATAAAAAATAATTGATTTGCTATGCTGTCATTACGCACCTACGGTGCACGTTAGCTTGTTCCAACCACCTCAGTAATAACAGCGTTTACTTGCTCTGAAAATTATCATCATTTTATTTATAATAATTTTGGTATTTTATTTGGTACCTTGTCTTTCTGATCGGCGATTGTCGGAAGGTCCTATTCATCGCCGCCACCGGACCCAGTTCGGATCCGAGAGCCACCCGAATCCCTTGTTCCCAGTTTTTGTTTTTCTGTTGCAAAGACTTCACCTTTACCATTTTACCACACAGTCCTCTCTCTCTCTCTCTCTCCATACAAATCGGGTTCTGTGTTTTTCCTGTTTTTAGCGCAGCGAGCGAGATTTTCACTCTCAATTTTGCTCCATCTCCAAACTACACGTGGCGATCTGGATCTTCTTCAACACCCCCATTATCACTTCCAATTTCAGTTAGTCTTTTTTTTCCTTTTTTATTTGTTGGGTTCATTTTTATTGCATCTAGGTTTTCTGTTTTTTTTGTTTTTTGAATATGTTTAAGTTATGAGTATAAATTTTGGGTGTTTTAGTTTAGACTTTCGATCTATGTTAAATTTTTTTAGGTTTTGTCAAATTTAGTTGAATTGGGTGCTGATGATAGGAAGATGGGTCATCTCCCATCTTCTTCTCCGCTTTGATTAATGTTTTATTGATTTTGAAATTGGAAGATTTAGGAAAGAGACGGGAAAGTGAAGTTTCCTGTTTTATGCGGAAAATATAAAATTGTGTTCCCATTAATTAAATGCCGTGATCTGTTCATTTTACTTCACATTTTGGGGGCATGGGATGGGTGTGTTTGGTTTCTCGGCAACCATAACCGTAGTGAGCTTAAGTTCTAGTTGATGTTGGTGTTTGTGTCTGTTTGATTTTGTGAAAATGTTTTTGAGTTGGTGTTCTTGGATCTCTGATTAATGTTTTGTGCGTTACTTTGTACTAATTCTTATGTTTTATGATAGTTGTTTAAAATTATTTTATACAAATTAATTAAAAAAATGTAATAACTATTCTTATTTTTTTGTAGAATAATTTTTATATTTCCTATTATATCCTATTTCATATATTAGTTATTATGTGTAAATTAATTAAAAATTAAATGAGATATAAGGATGTAATTAATAACACAACAATTAATACACTCTTAAAATTTGAAAATGACAAATAAATGAACAAAATTTTATCATATAAAAAGGAATGGAGGGAGTAATAATGTAACATCAAGACATAAATAGAAATAGATGAGTTATGTTTTATAAAAATTGAGTCTAACTTACTTATATGATAAGAACATACTTTTAAGGGACGTCTAGTAAGTGGAAAGTTTTTACATTTTTTGGGAATCTCATTTCGAGAATCTTGATTTCTTATGGTTGGTAGCTATTTTAAAAAAAATTCATAAATATAGTTTCTCTAAACCATTTTTATCTCACTTTCTCACAAAAATATTCTCATGGGAGGGGGTAAGCATCCAACTTTCCTGAATTAGGGAAAGTTTTATGTATATAAAAGACCATAGTATCATTTTTTTTTAAAACATAAAATCTCTCTCCTTCTATTCTTCTTTCTCTTTCTCTCTCTCCCTTTCTCACTTTCACTCCCTTTCTCTTCTTCTCTCTCTATCTATCTCCTTCTATTTCTCTTTCTCCCTCTCACTTCCCCTCTCTTCCTTTTAATCTCTCTCTCCCTCCCTCCCTCCCTCCCTCCCTCTCTTTCTATCTTTCCTTTTATTTCTCTTTCTCCCTCTCACTTTGTCTCTCTCACTCCCTTTCTCTTCCTCTCTATCTTCTTGTCCTTCCCTCTCTCTCCTTCTATTTCTCTTTCTCCTTCTCCTTCTCCTTCTCTATCACTCTCTCTCCCCCTCTCCCTCCCCCTCTTTCTTCTTCTATTTCTCTTTCTCCCTTTCCTATTGTCTCCATCTCTCTCACTCTCACTCCCTCTCTCTTTTTCCATCTCTCTCTCTCTCTCTCTCTCTCTCTCTCTCTCGTATCTAATTACCTTGTCAATTTTAATAATAATATTAAAATATGTTTTTATTTTTATAGTTAAATGATATTCGTTAACACTTTTTATTTTTTTCATTTGAATGAAATGAAATAATATATATATTTTTTATCTTTCTTAATTATTATTTAATATTTTATTTATTTATTTCTTTTGTTAAATTTTGTATTTAAATAACATTAACTATAAGTTTCTAACTTTTTAAAATAGTTTAATGTCATATTTGTAATAAGATTTGAGTAAGTAAATATATTTAATGAGTTTATTTTAATAAAGAATATTTTTGTAAAAAGCATTTATACCCAATAATATCTAAAAAAAATTGATTCTCAAGAATCCTATATGAACATTTCCCGAAATCTTTATAAGTAACCAAATAGATTTTAGTTATTCTTAATAATCATGATTCCTAGGATTTGTAATTCCGAAGAATCATGGTTCTTAGGTATAAAAAAACTTCTCCCCTACCAAATGATCCCTTAAGATTTGATATGATTGTGATACTTATATCTCTTATGTCAATTAATTAATATAAATACATGAATTTGTAAAAATAAGAAAAATGACATGCAAAATTTTTGAAATAATTTTCTCAAATGTATGATAAAAGATAACACATTCTCAATGCCAATTGAACGTTCTACAATAGAAGAAACTAAAACAATAAATAAGTTTTACACTCCACAGGCCATACAAATGTTTTTAAAACCAAAAGACCGATATGCAAGGTAACATGAATATATTATAAACATAAAAGTAAAACAAGTTTTGATGTTACGTCCTATCATAGCATAGTATGTTTAAGACTCTAAAGAAAATTGGGGTGTAGCATAGCCTCAAACTAATCTTTACTTAAAAATGATACTCAATCCAAACACAAACAGGAGTGAGATACATCTCTTTTTTGTTCTGAGTGCAAAGTAAAGGTGAGCAACAAATACAACAAACATATAGACAGGTAACATATACAACTATAATCATTAACAAATAACATTACACATCATGTTATGTCATGTTCTCTTCTATTGTCTAATGCACTTATGCTTTGTGGTGTCAAATTTCAAATTTCAATAGCTCATGGAGTAACTTAGGGGTATATGATACGTGACAGACTTCACCATGGATTTTCAACACTTTCATTTTACACTAGGATGAAATCCACTAGTGATTTATAGTCTTACAATGATACCTCATCTGCATGGGATCAATATGAACCACATAGGAATCTCAAACTAAACTCACCCTCAAGGTGTGGATCCTATGATCACTAAAAGACCTCCTAGACATAAAATTCATAACATACACCCAATCAAAATCTCAATTCAATGTCATATGAAGCATGTTACATTCTACGTTGTTCAATAGTATCAATTAATCTCAATTGCACAAATTTATCAATTTTGTTGTTAATTTTTGAGTTTTCTTTGAAATTTTATTGCATTTTTACCAATTAAATATTTTTCTAATTTTAAAGAAAAAATATTCTTACACCTAAAAGAAAATGTAAGAATCATTTGTTATATTTACTTTTTGTTCATTGTAAGAATAATTGTGTCATCATATGATTTTTACAAAGTTGTGTATTTAATTCTTATAATTCTTTTGCTAGTTCCTAATGCATTTGTTATAGGTTTGATTTTTTTTACTATGATTTGGTGTATTTATTATACTTAAAGGTTTAAAATTTATAAATTTGCTCAAATAGATGTTTAGTCTCTATAAACAATGTTGTTTTATTTAAACCCCCTTAATTTTAATTATTTTTCATCTTTTCTTCTTAAATTTTAGTTGTTTTGATTTTGATTCTCTCAAATTTTAACTGTTTTTGTTTAGACCTTTTTAAATTTTAGCTGTTTTCATTTTTGGTCATCCCAAATTTTAGTTGTTTTATTTTTCATCCTTTCAAATCATGGTTCTTATAATTTTTTGATTTTTCTATTTTGGTCTTACGTTTTTTTTTTTTTTTTTTAATTTTTTTTCTTAAATTTAATGGACAATTTCATAGTAAGAATGAAAATAAAACAAAAAAAAAATTATAGAGATAAAATAAAAAAAATGAAAATAACTATAAAAAACAAAAATATTCAATTTTACATGGAAAAAAGGTTATTTAAACTAAGAATATATTTATACTTATATACGTTTTTCATATATATTATTTTGACAATTTTAATCTTTTATAATATGCATAAATCCCATGAAAATAATTAATAAAAAACTATAAGTTTTTTCACAGACATTTTATCTTTAAAACAATCAATAATGACACCACAAAGGTGATTTCTTTATCATCGGTTATTATAACAATTTAACAAATGACTACATTTGCACACATAAATAGTTAGTTGAATAGTATTAGACTCGATTTTTTTAAGTAAATTTATGTATGAAAAATACATAATTACAAGAAAAGGCTCTATTAAAAATAATTAATTAAATTCTTTGATAAAAATTAATCATTATTAAAAGTCACTTTTTATATTAATGGATGGTTAAAATAAAAAATGACCACATTTGCAACAAGTGGAATTGTTGCCGGATCAGGACAAATGCAGCTTTGCACTGCGGAGGATATCACTAGGTGAAAGCTGAAAAGGATTCTCCATACCACAGCTTAGAATATATCAAAAGAATCATTTCTTTGAAGATGCGGAAACGTGATTTTAAATAGTAGAAATAAATGTTGCTGTCCAAAAAAATAAAAGTAGAAATAGATGCATGTGATTTGATGTTTAATCCATTTTCAGATTAGTATGGGAGGAAAAATATTTTGTTAGGAGATGACAATTTTTTTTAAATAAATTTAAATTGAGAGATTAATCTTTAAATTTTTTGGTTAGGAATGCTTTAATTTAATAAAAAATAACCTAAAGTTCCCTCAAAATATATAATAATAAAATTACTAAAATATAAGCAAATTAAAAGAACATGTAATTGTATAATCAATTATTATCATCTTTTTCTTTAAATTAAGAGTGTTAATTTGATACTAATGAGTAATGACACTTAAATTATTATTTAATATCTACAATAATTAATATACATTATACAAAAGATGACTTATAATAAATTTAAGTATGATTCTCACATCATTATATTTTTTACTCGTTTACATCTTTCTTTCGTTTTAATTTTTATCCTATTCCTTATCGTATTCATCAGTTTTTTTTTTTTTTTTTTTTTTTTTTTTTTTTTTCTTTTTTTTTTTTTTGTTTTTTTTTTTTTTTCTTTTTTTTTTTTTTGTTTTTTTTTTTTTTTCTTTTTTTTTTTTTTGTTTTTTTTTTTTTTTCTTTTTTTTTTTTTTGTTTTTTTTTTTTTTTCTTTTTTTTTTTTTTGTTTTTTTTTTTTTTTCTTTTTTTTTTTTTTTATTTTTTTTTTTTTTTTTTTTTTTTTTTTCATTTTTCTCTATTTTCGGTAGTGAGGTGCACCTTTTCAGATGTGATAAAATCATTTTCTTGTTTACATTTATACATGTAATAACTTAAGTGTTTGAAAATCATTGAAAAGTTGTATGAGATGATTTATTTGCCCGATAAAATTTTTAAAATTTTATTTTACAATTAAGAAAGGAATAGGAAAAAGAAAAGAAAAATACAAAATAAGATTAAACTCATGTTTAATTTAGCTTAAATCTAGAAAATAATATATATCTTTAAATTTATCCACTAAAATAATAAAAAAAAATTATTGTTTTCATTAAAAACAAGTTTAATTAAATACACAATAATAATTAAATTGAAATAAATTTTAAAAGTGTTATTAAAAGTACAATAGGAATAAAACATCTTACCAAAACTGTATAGTATGATAAATAATTGAGTTTTTTTTTTTAATTATGTTATTATTAATCTTTAATTTCTGGTATATATCTATATAAAATAATAGAAAAAAAGCTTACATTTAAGTATGGCAGTGTCCAAAATTAGACAATGTGATAATAGTAAGTTAGTGAGTGGATTTTGGATCTGGCCTATTATTCCATCACTGCTAGTTACTAATCCAGAAGTTGTACTCGAGTTGGAGTGTGACTGAGTTTGGTGTCTTAATCTCTAACCGAAAATGTCACTCACCTTGCAAACTCCGCCCCCTGCAGCTCTCTCGTCTGCTGCATCGTCTTCTTCCTCCATTCACCGAACAACGAGATCCACCTTCTCCTTCTCCCTCCGCTCCACACCTTCTCTAACTCTCCACTCCCTTCCTCAAACTCGCGCTTCAGCTTCCTCCATCAATACCGGTAATTATATTTATACACTCTCTCCTTTCTCTTTCATTTCGCACTTTCCTTTTCTTTCTCTCTCATTTCGCAATTTCCGTTGTTCGCCTGCAGCGTCGACTACCGAACTCGATGCTGTGTCCGCCTTCAGCGAGATCGTTCCGGACACCGTCATTTTCGATGATTTCGAAAAGTAATGTCCATTTTTCTTCGTGATTAGTTGAGTTTGATTCTAGTGTTTGATCTGGTAATTGATATATCATTGAACCTACGCTGCTGCTTCAGGTTTCCTCCAACTGCTGCTACTGTCAGTTCATCGCTTCTCTTGGGAATTTGTGGCCTTCCGGACACCATATTTAGGGTAAGCTTTTCGTCTTTGGAAAACCTAACACGCGCATTTTGGTTTTGGTCTGAGTCTGACTCAACGAGTTACGTGTTCTTCTATTTACTTAATTGTCTGTAGAATGCTGTGGAGATGGCTCTGGCTGATTCCGAGTGTTATGGACTTGAAAATCCTAACGCGCGATTGTCTTGTTTTGTCAACAAGGTGTTTGTTTCTTCTTTTCTTTTTTATGTTTAATTTTGATTTTGACTGTGAAGCTCATTTGTAACTGGTTGTTTTGCGGATTTGGTCCTGGAATTGTAGGCCTTCGCGAATGTTGGTAGTGACTTGGCAAAGCTTGTGCCTGGCCGTGTTTCGACGGAAGTGGATGCACGGCTTGCTTATGACACGCATGCCATTATCAGGAAGGTATTTGGTTCTGTTTCGTCAACACTTGTAATGTTAAGATTCTATTGCTATGCGTCTTGAATGTGATATTGTAATGTTGAATACATTTGTAGTTTCAGTGCCTTCTCTCTCAAAGGTGCCAAATCTTAAGCCTTCTAATATTTTGGATTTATGAAGTTCTTATTAAGTTGTCTATCCCAGTCACGAGTAAAAGCTATAAACAGTTATGATTTTGGCACCAGATGTAGGAAAGCAATGGTTTTAGTTGATTGTACGTCATTCTCATGTGAGCAATGCCCAAACTGAGGGTATAGGTGTTTCTCTCTGTCTCTCTCATTCACTTTCTAAACTGTAAATGGCTCCTAATCTGTTTAGAAACAAGCTTCACATTTTGTGAATCCTTAAGGCTTAGTGCAAGATAAAATATCAACCCTGACAAAATACACATGTTGTGCCTTGGTGAAATCTTATGCTACTGTTATCAAATTTTACAGGTGCATGACCTATTAAAGTTGTACAATGATAGTAATGTACCTCCTCATCGTCTGCTGTTTAAAATTCCTTCAACTTGGCAAGTGAGTAATCTGGAACTATAGGGTTGTTGTGCCAGCTAAATTCAAGAATACTGATGCTTTATTTAATGTAATGATGGCTTGGTTGCAATTTGTTTAGGGAATAGAGGCTGCTAGGTTGCTGGAATCTGAAGGCATACAGACACATTTGACCTTTGTCTACAGGTAGTTTTGATGAATATTTTGCAGAAAGATCTTGAGGTTAATACATGAACGATGTCATTTGATTATGCCGCTTAATGGCTTGGATCTGTCATTGTGTGTAGTACATAAAATTTTCTGTTTTGAATACTCTTAATACATTGCACATGTTATCTCCAAACCTCAGGAATCATATGATGGTATATTTGTTTTTGTTCCATTATATGAGAAAGAAAATATTTAGCACATATTACTTTTTAGTAGCTAATTCATAACAATTTTTATTCATCTGACATGTATGTTCATTATTCTAAAGGGCACAGTTTATCTGTTGCTTTTATTAAATCCCAATAGGGTGTCATCTTGGATGAACTGGTGTTTCTTTTGTTCATGAGAATGTCCTATCTGATATCTTTATTTATTCGCAATGAAAATTCTTAAATAGTTTGTAATTGGTTGTGGCTGTTGCATATTAGCTAGGAATTTGGATGTATACAAGAATCCTAATCTTCAAATAATAAATGAGAAGCAATCCCTATAACAGAACTTTTAGAATATATAAATTGATACAAAGTTCTTATCATATTTCCATAAATAGAAAATTAAAAAGGCATCTTTACACTAAACAAATTTTTTATGTATTGGAAAAAAACAGAAATTTCATTACTATTTCTAGATGTTAAATTTGAATTACTTCAAACACTAGCAAGTCTAGTTCTGATATAATCTTGACCATTGTCTTTATCTTTTAATATCTTCTGTGAGTGGGGAGAAACTATCCTCAAGAAGCACGCTGTATTGAAGTCATTATTCGTTAGAAGTACAATCATGACTTTCTATGGACTTTAGACCACCAATATGAATATCTGTTTGCTCATGCTATGATGCACGACATCTTGTCCTCCAATTAGAAATTGTGAAATGCCTGCTTTCTGTTACACCAAAAGGAAAAGGAATGGTTTGCTTTGATGAAAATTTCATTTTTGGGTATTGATTGCTGATGTGAAAAAATTTCGAATTTCTTTTAAAAATTCAAACATCTAAGTTTGTATCCTAGTGGCAGTGTGTCATTCCATTTGATCTGAGCAATGTATATTATATTCATTGTTAATTATACTATGGATTGGTTCCACTTCTTCAGCTTTGCTCAAGCTGCCGCAGCAGCTCAAGCTGGTGCTTCTGTTATTCAAATTTTTGTTGGTCGCATAAGGGTAATTTCTATCTTTATTTGTGTCATAAGAATGTTGGACAGCAGGTTTTAGGGTGTCCAATTTAAACTTTATAAATTTTCAGGATTGGGCTCGCAATCATTCTGGTGATACAGAGATAGAATCTGCCCAACTAAGAGGAGAGGATCCAGGGTTGGCATTGGTCTGTTCTTTAATATTGTTCTTCTCTTCATGCTCTTGCTTGATTGTTAGAATTTAAGTTTACTTTTGTCAAAATTAACTAATAGAGCTCTTGGTGAAAATATAGAAATAGAGATATACTTTTCTTTGATACTAGTTTAAGTCAGCAATGTTGGTATGACTTGTGGAAAAACAGCTTGGTTCTTACAAACAATAATCAGATCTTTGCTAGTAGTAGTTATGATAATCAGTAATCACCAACAAAGTACATGCCTTAAATCATTATTATTTCAGGTGACAAAAGCTTACAATTATATTCACAAATATGGACATAAGTCAAAGTTGATGGCAGCAGCAGTTCGCAACAAACAGGATCTATTTAGTCTTCTGGGGTATTCACTGACTTCTCTCAAGTCATATCCAATTTAATGCTTGATTTAAGTTTTATTTGTATGATATTCTATCAATTAATTTACTTTTTTCTTGTCTAGGATTGACTATATCATAGCTCCTTTAAAGGTATTGCAGTCTCTCAAAGAATCTGTTGCTTCTCCTGATGAGAAGTACTCTTTTGATAGGAGGTTATCCCCTCAGTCTGCTGTCAAGCACGTGTTTAGTGATGAAGAGGTATGGTTTCAGCCTCTAATGTCATTTTCCTTTCCCTTTATAAAGTAGGAATTTCTTAGTTGAAACTGCAAAATTACGTTGGCATCAATATATGTCCACCTCATAATTGCAAAACATAATGGCATGCCCATTGGCCCTTTCCGACTCAAATGGAAAATCAAGCACCAATTAGATGCAAAAGTAACGTAAAACTTCATGTCACCTGTTATGCTGTTACTCCAATAAGGTGTTAAATCTTCTATAAGGAAGCTCAGGAAAATTAAAATCAGCAACTACCTTCAGTTGCTTAATTTTATATTTCTTACATTACCATTGACTACGTAATAGAAAATGTTGCCATTACTGCCATTTACGGTATCTGGTTATGCCATAGTTACGTCTATTGCAGTTTTCTTTGCTACCTCAATCATCAGCCGGATAGTGTTATTGAATGATGTGGAGTTTGTCAGATTTGCTAAATCATTGGATTGCTTTACTAATAAGTTTACATTCTTATATCCAGCTTGTTAAATGGGACCAAGATAGCCTCGCAAACGCCATGGGGCCTGCTGCTGTGCAGCTTCTGGCTGCTGGTCTGGATGGTCATGCTGATCAAGCAAAGCGGGTGGAAGATTTGTTTGGGAAAATTTGGCCCCCACCAAATGTATGATTTCACTTCTCTATGTCGCACGATAGTCTTTTTTCCCAATAGAATAAACATAATACACAACAAATGACGGGAACCTTCCTTTATGTTTCTTTCCCTTTAACCATGAACTCTCAAACAGTTTCCTTAATGTAAGCTGGCAGTTCCTAAAAGCACATTTTGTTGTTAAGTAATGCTACATGTATAATAAAAATTGTACAATATTACTTTTGTGTCTATATCTCACTATCACTTTATTAATTATGAAGTGAAATAGACACAAAAATAATGTTATACAAATTGTTGTACAATTTTTGTTATAGATGTTGCATTACTCTTTGTTGTTTTGTTTTTCTTTTGTTGCAGATGCATTTTCCTTCGTTTTATTTTTGGTATTCTGGGAGCCTTTATTTCGTTTTAATTTGAATTAAAACCTTGATACTCGTAGAAAGGTAAGTCCGCAAGTAGGGTCGGTCAAACCCGGTTCTGCCCGTGTGTTTATTGATGAGGTGGCCTGGGCAGCGGCTAACAGGATCACAGTTGGGCTGGTATTGTCACAGCACATACAATTAGTTTATTACAAATCAAATTATATGTTTAGATTTGTTATATGATTTAAATCGATTTAGAAGATAAACCCTACGGATGGGAGTCATTAAATATGTGTAGAGGTGGAGATGGAAGAGTTGAGTTAGGTTAAACAAAGATTGAGTTTGACTTTTGTCTAAATTGAAGGTCCAAGTTTGGTTTGTTTACGTAATATGGACTTTTTTCTAAGGCTAGGCTTGATCCTTATTTTCTAAGGGTGGGCTTAGATCTTTTTAAAAGCTAACATGTATTGAAAACTTGTTTAAAAGCTTAATGGCAATTAATATTTGAGGAGTGATAGCAATACTCACCCAATTACTCACTTAATAACACTTTTAATATTGGTTGAAAATTGTAATCTTTAACAGTGCAACTCCTTAATGAAGGATGTTTGAAGATGTCACTTTGATTTTCCAAGGTACACTCTTTTAATTTGTAATGTTAAAAGTTAAATTTATTTTTTAAAATTATTGGAAAGTAATTCCTGGAACCACATGAACACCATGTGGACAAAGGAAGGGGATGGGTCAAATGGAAGGGGTGCATGAATTGAAAATAGGCAAGTGTTAGAAGAAATAAGGTTTGAAACTCAAATGAAAATAAAGTATAATGGTATATATAATCATAAATTATATATATAATCTGTCCTAGAGACTATTGGCTTAGTCAATGACAAAATACAATTGTCACTTGAAGTGTTTGCATTAGAAGTCATTCCATTGAATGTAAACACCTCCTTGGTGCAGTTAGATCCTAGAGGCCCAAAAACATTTGCATCTAGTGTTCCTCCTAGTGACGATGTTGAGAACATGATTATTGACTCTAAGGAAGTCGCAAAGATGGAAAGTTTGGAAGAAGAACACACAACTAATGAGGAGTCTTGGGAACCACCTGTGTATGATTCTACCAGGTGCTCTCCCTACTTAAACATGAAGGAATACCTCTAGAAGTGTTATCTAGAAGAGCAACCTATGCCATCCATCCAAGAACCACCCTTGCAACATATCTGAGACCATTGGACATTTAAGCTCCACCTCATTTGGACACTAAGACCCTTCGTCTCATCAATCAACTATGTTGTGAACTTGAAGATGAGTATCATCTAAAGGCTACTTTAGAGTTAATTTATAAGGGAACCCCTCATCAACTTCCTTTGATGATTGCAAGTCCATGCAGGATGTGCATGATTCAACCTTGGACTAAGTTCTCCATTGCTAATTCAAGATCCAAGGTTTCTCTGCACTCTGTCTACAAAGGGAAGGAGAAAAAGGGCCAATATGCAAATGATGTGAGGTATATGAGGTATGCTTGTTGCCATTAGTCTAGTGCTTCAAGCATAGATAAGGAGTAGCCTATTTACTCCATGGGATGTTGCTACCAATAGACTCCACCCTTTGCCCTCCACCTCCACAAGTCCAACTGCCACCAATGTCTATACCAACCATGTTGCATGTATCGTTACCTTACCCATTTCAATTTTGTTTCATATTCATTTACTTGGTAATGTTATTTTTGTTTATGATCACCCTAAGACTTCGTTTATGCACTTTGTCCGATATCACTATAACCAATTGCACCAGAACCTGAAGCCTTGTAGTGTAATTGCGAGCATGCTTTGACTCTCATTGTTGGTTTCTTGGTTTGAGCTCTCTGTGCATTATTTCGAAGGTAAACACGCTATGAGCTCAAGTTCCAAGTTGTGTATCAGACTCAACATAAAGATCAACTCAGATGAAGATAAGTAGTTCTTTTACCTAACTTTTGTTGGTGTGAAAATGGGGAGTAGATATTTTATATAGTTTTTGAAAATTGTATTTTAGTTTTTGAAAAGTTATTAGTTGTTTTGTAGTAACTATATTTTGCTCTACACAAGTTCATACTTTTATGCTTTGAACATAATTGCTCTAATGAACAAGTTTTCATTTATGCACATTCTTAGGGAGAGTGCTTTTTTTCACTTAGTCTCTTATATTTTGCTCTAATAGTCATGAGTGTTCACATATATATATATATATATATATATATATATGTTTGTTTGTTTGTATATTTGATATGTCATGTTCTGATAGAAATTTGCTTTTGCTTTGATACATACTTTCTGTTTTGCTTTGAAATACATTTGCTTTGATGTTGTGTTATACATTTTCTTTGGATATGACTTAATATGATTTTGCAATCTCTAATATCTTGTTTGGATATGTGTTTCATATGATCTCTTCATATTTACAAAGCTTTGATGGAAAATCATTATATGAATAAACTCTTTTCTTGTGAAAATCACAACTTTTGTTGTGATATCATGTGATGTTTCTCAAAATCGTCTCCATGAAACCAAGTCTTTTTCTCATAATTTTTTTTAAAGTTTTTAGTAAAAAGAAACTACTTCTCCTTATCTCCAATATCCCTCTATTAGTTTGAAAAGAAAAAGTTTAGTCTTGCATGTTTTTCTATCAAAACCTTTATTTCAAAAATGAATGCTTGTTACCATTAAAAAGAAAGAGAATGTTATGTCAAAAGACAATCCTAGATCCCTCTAGTTTTATGCTTTGCTATTAACAAACAAAGCTTTTGATAAAAAATATAAGTTTTAAAAATGACTAAGACAAATCTTCTACTAAAATGCAACCTGTCAATTAGTCGAATCTTTGTATAAGATGAAGTACTCATTAAAATGTTGTGTTATTGACTAAGATGAACCTTTAGTCATGAAAAGAGATATACATTAAATCCTTATCATTTATCTTTAACCAAGGAATTGACTATGAATGAATGTTTCTTGAACTGATCAAACTTAAAAAATAGTTCCTCGATACTAACACTCTAATAAAAGGAAAGAAAGACATGTTTTACATCAGAAACGGACAAGCAGATCCTTGCAAACACGAAAAACTGTAGTTAAAAGTTGTTTCATCACTATAGCATCTTGACACATGCATGGTTCTACCTACTTGGTACCTAAAAGGTGACAAGTAGCTTTTTTGATTAGATAAGAAGCGACAACTTAGTAAAAGCATTTAATGCAAACATTTATTACATCAATAGACAATTCTCTCCTCAAGAAGCAAATCCTAAAGACAAACAAAACAAACCATTAGAAAAAACTCAAGGGTTTACAATGGTCATTTTCATTAAAGCACTACATAAAGAAGTTTAATGCTAAAAAAGAAGAGGACAATGTGATGAAAAATCAATTGTAAAAAGTCACATTCTTTCTCGTAAAAAGTCTTTATACTTTTTGTTGTATCACGTCTTCAAAGGAAGACGAAACAATTTTGTAAACCTTTGTAACTTTGAGTTATAGGGTTTGAACCTAGAAAAACTTGTCTGAAAAATAATACTCAAGTTTGAGCCTAGAGAGACATATTTGTAAAAGAATACTTGGTATTGAAGTTTGAAGAGGCTTTGTGTAAAAAGAATATTTGGGTAGTTGCTTGAAAAGGCAAATCAAAAAGCACTTATTAGGGTTGAGTCAGAAATGGCTTAGTAAAAAATAACTGTATCTTGAGTAAGATAGTGAAACTTGATCTGGTTGGATCAAGAACTGGACGTAATTTTGATAGTTGAGATGATCCAATATAAAAACACCTTGTGTTCTAACTATTTACCTTTTTTGTCTACACTCCTTACTATAACATTTTTACCTTATTTTGCAAAAAAATGTAACTTTTTTGAGTGACATTATTTAACCCCCTTTTAGTCTTTTTTTTTTTTATTTCTCCATAATCATTTTAACAACTTACAATTTAAACATCATCATATAATATATCAATTTACAACATACAAATTCATTATCATGCATCACCCATATGACTTATTCATCATCATTCAACTATAAAAGAACTTAAAACAATAAATTTTTACCATGCAACTCACGCTTGACACTACTCAAAGGACCCCTGACGCCATTGAGGTAGAAGGTTCTCTATCTCGTCCACACCCGATGCCAAACTACTTGTATCTAGTATGGTTGAGGCAAAGAGTCTCCTACTCTTTCACGCCTAGTGTGGAAAGAGCCCATGCTCGACCTCAACGTGTAAGGGTCTCTTCACAATTCATGCCTGATGCCACTCTATTGGAGCCTATCCTGATTTCAACTCGAGATGATACTCTCTTCTCACATTCGACGCCATTCAAATTACTCTCAACGTGATTTCAACTTGAGAAGACTTTTTCCCTTCATGCCCAGTGGCAACAATGTTGCATCCAACGTGGGGTAAGATAGAACCATTGGTTGAAACTACGTTTGACGTCTTGAAGGAACACTTGACACAATATTAGTTTTACACTTATGCAGAACTCAATTTTGATCCTAAACCACGTGAAACTTAGCCAAAAGTCACATGTAATCAATTATACAACATATTTACAACATACCAAGCTTAGTTTTAGCAACAAAAGCAACATTCATCCAACAACACAACAACTCATAATCTTTTCTCCAATCAATTAAGAAATCAACAATTGATGAAATCCAACAACATCAATCAACATGCAGCTCTAACGATCAACACAAACTTCCCTTATCTTTTACAGGTTCAAATCAAAGAGGAGAAGAGAAGATGAAGACAAAGCAACCCTCTACACAATTCTAACTGAAGATCTTTAGCTCCACAAGTTTGGTTTTTCCTACCCAGTCAAGTGGATCCCGCTACAGGAAGTGAGAAAAGAAAGGATTTTAGTGAAAGGGAAGAAAAGGTTTCCAAGCTCTAAAGGACTTCTATCTAGCTTTTTTTAGAACATGAAATTATGAGCTCACATATCTTAAGAGAACCCTAACATACTTTTCTTGAAGTTGACCCAACTTGTCTTTGACTCGATTAACTTAGAATCTCTTGACTCTAGAGTTCTAAGACAACACTACTAACAACAACCAGAAGCATATCACATAGTTAAAACTAAAACATTTAAAACTTACAATGTTATATTTTAGACACACACACACACAGAGATATAGAGACGGAGAAAGAGAAGGAGAAATGTACCTAGACATATTTCGTTCAATAACTTATGTTTTATATCAAATTTAGAGACAGAGAGAGAGAAGGAGAAATGAAGAGAGGAAATCTACCTAGACATATTTCGTTCAATAACTTATGTTTTATATCAAATTTAGAGACAGAGAGAGAGAAGGAGAAATGAAGAGAGGAAATCTACCTAGACATATTTCGTTCAATAACTTATGTTTTATATCAAATTTCAATCATCCAACCATCGAATTTAAAATTCTTAACGCATTGATCAAGTCTGCAAACTTTTTAAAAATTATGAAAATCATTTGATACTTCATTTCATTAATTCAAATTGCAAACTTTTTAAAAATTATGAAAATCATTTGATACTTCATTTCATTAATTCAAATTGATAGATAATCATAAAATCATTTTATACGTTGATTTAATTTAATGAAACAAAGTATCGAATGATTTTCAATTTCTTAAAAAATTTACAGGCTTAATCTATGCATTAAAAACTTTAAATTCGACGATTGAAACATTGAAATTTGATGTAAAACATAAATTATTGAATAGAATAAATTTAAGTAGACTTATTCTTGAAATAAAAAAATCCCTCCTTATATATATATATATTTATATATAGAGGGGAGTTATAATCACACTAGTGTAACTTTTATCAAGTATTACATCGCTCAATAACTTTATATTAATTGTGAATTTTGTAAATCCAACCGTTAGATTGAAAGTTCATATCACTTTATACATGTATATCAAATTTTGTTAAAATTGAACAACAACTTGAAGATAATCAAAGTGTTCATATTTTAGTGTATTTTGAAATGAATATATTACGTCAACTTTGTTTTATAAAAATGAAGTATCAAATCATCTTGGATTAATATAAAATTTTGTATATATGATCTAAGATATATGAACTTTCAATTTATTATTTATATATATATATATATATATATATATATATATATTAAAATTTGCACATAAACTCTCAAGAGTTGAAAATAATTTTTTTTTAAAATTTATTCTTTATAATTGGATGTGCCGGACAAATGATCACATCCAATTAGTCCAACTCACAAAAAAATATCAAAATATATTAATTAAAAACATCTATAAAAGTAATAATCATTAACTTGTAAAATAAAGATAATTATTATTAAATATTTCAATGATTTCATAACAGAATTAATATATATCAATAGTTATATACAATTACGTAAAACAAAATTAACTATATCTATGTGTATAATTTATATATCTGGATGTAAAACGTACGGCCATACATGGGTATTTTCCTTTTTAATTTAACAAAATTAAATAATTACTTCATTTAGGGTTATAAATTTTAATTGTCTAATGATTAGCTCGAGGCTTGAATCTTACTACTTTAATATTTTATGTATAGTCAGAAAGGTTGCCAACACGAACAAGTAGAAGACATGAATAAATTAACAACGTGGAAAGCTGCTAAACTAAACCCACCACGCGTTGACGAATGTTAATTTTGGAGGTTGATAATAAACCTCCATGGACAAGTCTCGATCTGATGATCTCTAAAGTTGCGCAGGGTCCCACACTTAGAGGCTTTTTGACCCTCATTGTATAATTTTCTTTAAAATTTATTAATATAATATAGTGTAAATTGAAAATTCTTTATTTCATTACGGTTAATATACATAAAGTTCGTAGAAGAAGTAATTTAATATTTATATTCTTTAATTAAAATCTCATGTCTGATTCTTAATGTAAGAAGAGTTATTATTATTTTACTCTTAAACGAATGAATTTATCTAGGTTCATTATATATATATATATATATATATAAAAGATGATTGGTCTAGTAAAAGTGATTAGTTCCTTCAAATACAATAAATTAAGGCTTGAATCTTCGTTAAAAATATGAGGTGTATCCATATTAAATATATATGATCATATTTTGAATAAAATTGTTTCGAAAATACATGTTAAAAAAAATAAAATATTTATTCAGACAAGGTAGGTTATATATAGTATTGTGAAGCAAAGTCTTATTTTTCATAAATGATTTATTATTTAAAAATTTCAAATATAACTTGTGCTTTAAAATATGACTTTGACTTTTGTTTTTTAATGACACAATATATATATATACAGAGTATGACTTTATTTTTGTAAAATGATAAATGAAAATCGCAATGTAAAATATAATTTTTTTAAATGAGATAAATCATACATACAAAGTATGAAATAACTTTTTTTTTTCCAAATGATAATACAAGTTATGCATATAAAATATGATTTTTTTAAATAAAAAAGGACAAGTCTTATGTTATATTTAGGCCTTACTATTTTTTTAAGGACAAAATATTTTCTTGAATCCTCAAAATATTTTGAAAATTAATTTTAGTTTCTATAAAAAAGAATAAAATATTTTTAGCCTTACATTTACCAAAACTGAAATGATTTTAGTTCTTTATCAAGGACTAAAAACTTGTTTTTATTAAAATTTAAAGATTAATAACAATTTTTTTTATACAAACTAAAATTAAATTTTGAAAGATTTAAAAGATATTTACCCTTATTGTTTCATTTAAGTTTTAACTAAGTTGAGTTTGACATTTTTCAAATTATATGTATCACTCCTAATAATTTGAGTCCTATTCCACCCCTGTTAGACAAATTAGGGTGGCATGGTATGATCTCTAACATTTTACAATTACCTGATACACATTAATTACGTAAAAGCATTTATTCATGTAGCCAACCCACTATAAGATGTTTCTTAATCATCAAAATCCTTTATAAGTGTTATTTGTGTTTAATTTTCATGGTCTTTTGTAAGTGACATAAAGATTTAATTTTATGCGACCATTCTGAAAATTAGACATTGTACGTATTACCCATAAATTGTTTGATTGAGGTAAAATATGTCTCCAATTATTGAAAGTCATACATATAAACACCATAAAAAAACACTAGATGCACACAGTTGTGAGTTTTTTTTTTTTTGAAAAATTATTTATCAATCAATTTTTTTTTTATTTTTAAAAATATATATATATATCCGCTTTGTGTTCTATATATAGCACCGCTCCTAGTACTTATTTGTGAATCGTGGGCACACATATTTAATTGACACAAGTGTCCCCATTCGGAGACATAAATAAACAGATTATGTGCTCATAAATTGTCGTGATTAGCTTGGTAGGAGGGGTGCATATGACCAGAAATAAGTAGTCATTCGTTGTATGAAAATTATTGAAGAATATAAATGTAATCATATAGAATCGTAATTTCTTAGGGGCACGTGGAATCTGCAACACCTCCCATTGCTGCATGTGGATTGTGGAAACGTCCATTGTGTTAAACCAGCTAGGTAGGGCTCACTATCAATTAGTACCAAATTAATTATAATGCCGCAAGAACAAACCGTAAAGATCCGGTTTAGGTTTAGGTTTAGGTCTTTTCTGCTTATTAATTTGTTTCGTCGCATTTTCAATAATGAAAGATGAAACATCATTGGTGGGACGAACAATAGCAGCCACACAAGCGGCAGAGAAAGAAACGAAAAGAGAAAAAATTTAAACCACGTTATATGTACGTGGATTAATGAACCAATGAAGGGTGATATCATAATCACTCGCATGTGGTCTAAAGCTGACCCAAAAATGTTTGGTAAATAGAATAGCCACGCCCACGGCAATGTTTGTTGGCATTTGTCAATTGCATTATTGTGTGACAAGTGCCAGCATTCAGGGACAATCTGACTCAGCAATGAGTAACACTTGTGATCGAATTATTAACTATAATTTTACGAAACTTATTGCCCAAATAGAAACAAGTTTGAATCTGGCTCTCATGAATTATTGGTGATTGTTATAGATTGTTTAGAAAATAATGCAAATTATTAGTTGCGTCAAAACATCACCCCATCATCCTACGCGATTCAATTGTAATAATGCAAACAAAGTTCTTAACCTTGAGCTAAAAAGAACATTGAATAAGAATACTATTAATACGAAATATGTTTAAAAACTGAACAGTAATTTATTCATATTATTAAACTTAGCAGGAAAAGAGATATTTCATTTTTCTATATATTTATTTTTGAAGGAATATTGAAAAAAAGATGATTATTAAATTTAAGGATAATAATATCAATACAAAAATCTCAAAAAGATAGTTACCAAAATTTATCCTTTTATACCTATAATAAAATATGTAATAAATCTTAATTAATAGGGTACTAATAAAACCCGATGGCGTCACGCCTTAATGCAAATTATTACAATCACTCATCTTTTGTTGTCGTGTTGTCTACCCTCCAATAAGCTATTTCCAAATTAAAACATGACTTGACTTTAGTTCAAATGTTTGTTTACGTATATTTGGAATTTGGGGTGCTTCGATACAATGATTATGATACGAGGTTAAAATAAAATAAAAACATAAAAAAATTTAAAAAGTGTATTTAACTTGATTACCCTAAAAAAATTGAATTAGATAAAGCTGGAAGGTTTCTAATTCGTTCATTTATTTTTTTTAAGATTTCATTATAGCCACTGTTATTACCTATGAGTTCGTATAATCTTTTTTCCTTTTTCGGCTTTTATACTCATTTTAATGGTCGAAAAAATTGAGTGGGACCAATGGGCTATGGCCCATTAGATGATAACTCCTTAAAGGCTATTTTTTTATAAGCTTAAATATATTTTTAGTTCCTTAAATTTAAAATAAATCTGTTTTTGGTCCTTTAAATTTAAAATTGTTGTTTTTAGTCCCTGTAATTTTAAAAAATTTTATTTTAATCTTTATATTCAAATTTTATTAAGAAATTTATCAAA